TTCATCTTTGTTTGTTGGGGAAGAAGGAAATGGTAAAATCTTTGCACATAATCTAATTGCACTTCAGCAAAATGATTACTTCAAGTATGGTTTATGTTGTGGTTTGGCCATTGTTAATGGTAGTGGGGGTCCCCAGTTTTTCTGTCCACCAGTTGTGGACTATCTTTTACATGGTGATGTTAAGCATGTTAAGAGCAATATTGACCCAAAGTTATTTGAAGAGAAAGCTAACTCTTATTTCAGTGAATCATTTCATGATATGGGCTATACCAAAGCAATAGTCTTTTCCAATAAGGCCGAGTTTTTAACAGCCGCCACAATCCATTACACTTTAACACCTTCTCTTGGTGAAATGAATCAGTTTATTGATGGGTTAAACGCAGTTGGGGTTTTACACATGCTGAGGAATCACCCCATTGAGGCAAGGAATATATTTGAATTTTCTAGTAATACTTAAACTGCAGAATTAATAGATGGCCTATTTACTGTCAAGTTAGCTCCTGAAGGAAGCAACAAAAGTGAAAAAGAAAAGACCATTCTTTTTTATTGGAACCAATTGTTGGGAGACATTGGACAAGGTCTTGTTAAGAGTGAGGTCTATGATAGTAGTACTGATTCCTATGTTACAGTAAATATTTCTCTTGAAGGTATATTAGCATTTTTAACAGGGAGTAGGAGTATCCCTCCATTAGGTTTACATCCCAGGCCTTCAATTGGGAAGGCCTGGGAATAAAAAGCTCTACGTTAGCACTTGCTCTAATGTACTGTATATTACAGTTACAGACAATCTGTTATCTAGTTATGGGTCATTTACAGGAGATTTCATATTTTGCATGCTTAACTCTCCAGGTTTTGGCATTGTTTAGAAGAAAGTTTACAATCATAGTCATGTGTTTTACTTTACAGAATGCATAAACACTTTTTAGCAGGTGGAGCAACTTTGCTATTAGTAAACTAATCAAGTTGCAGTTTTAAAAATGTTACCTTTGATAGGTTTGACAGTTCTGAAGTAAATGATTAGAGTGGTTTTCATAAACAATTGAAACAGGCATTAAAATAATACACAGAAGTGATTACTATACCATTGTTTCCTTTTGAAGTTATTGACATATGCACATACTACTTGATACAAGTTTCATGTATTTCTGAAAACTACTCTACTATTAAATGCAAGCAGATAATGACATTGTATGATTTTGTAAGAGCTCAAATAATATATACCCATGAAATTCCTTATAATTATAGTCCTATAAGCTTTTCTATTTTTATTTCAACTATTATTAATAACTATTTGACTTAAAGTGCTATAATTTCTTTCACAGTTGAAATTTATCATGCATTTGTAGATTACATTTAATTGTTTTGGGAATACTGTTCCATGGGTTTATATATTGCACTCTATGACAATTATGTCACATGTTACAGTTAAGTTGGGGTTGCACAAAGTTTATAATTTTACAAATAATACAATGTAGTACATGTTATCCGTTTGTAAATTAACAAGCCTTGATGTTTATAAAGAATTATCAGTTTTGTATTTGATAATTAAATTGATTACTTGATACATGTGCTTGCTTATTTATAGTCATGCAGTCATATTTTTTCTTAAGTTAAGTTCCATAAACATACAGTCAAGTACCTAATCATAAATTTGAAACTATATCATGACAATTTCCTTTTGCTGTACATCTATAATTCCCTACTAGGGTTCATTTGCAGAGTTACCTGTTAGCAATAATTGATAAGGTTTTAAAGAGATGGAACGCCTCATCAGGAGTGTTTGGGTACTGAAGCATCTCATTATGCGGAACAAAATCAAAATACTCTTGGTATATAGCTGAATCATTGTCATCATCACCATGTACATATACTTCCACAGCATTTATCTTTTCAGCTGGAATTCTCACCTTGCAGTCAATACCATCAGAACGATGAGGTAAGTGGTAAAGTACATTAGGAATGCCAGGCACTGTGCTATACCTTGATGGGCGTATTCAGTGAGTGTTCCAATGATGTTTCACTTTGTCCAATTCATCTTGAAGTACCCTTTCATAGCAAAACCACAAGCATTCCTTGCTAAGCTTAGTGTCCACTAATCCAGTGTTTACTATGTTACTGAAATGATCTATCCACCAAGATGTTCTTGCTCGTCTTAGAGATGACCACCAACATTCGATTCTTTGATTTGCTGGTGATGTTCCATATCTATGAGATTTTTCACCAGCAAATTCCTCATTGCCTTCCTACCTAAAATATGATTGGATAGCAGCCACAGTGTCATTTTCTGTGCCACAGTCTGTTCTTACAAGAATGGGACATCCAGAGCATTCTCTGACACAACCAAGAAAAAAA